GATGGTTGGGTTAGGCCACGTATGATCTGACCAACTCCGTATTGTTAAGACCCTCCACGACCCGGCAGAGCCGAACAAATGAATTGTCACGTGTAAAAGCATTTAACGTGACAATTATTGTTTCAGCCCACTAGTAAGTTAAATCACAATGCTTACAACCGAATTAAGTGGGGGTCAATGTTTGCATTAAACAACCACTGTTGACTTCCCACAAGACAGGACTAATTGTAAATTTCGATTTAAAGCTTTCGTGACTGCAGGGATACGTATTCTTGGTTCTTTCGGTAAAAAAAACCCAATAATTTTATTTTAAAACAATTGTTTTATTTTTTATTATTTCCCTTCTACGTGACTTTACCGAAAGAAGCAAGAATATGAATAGGACTAATTGTATTTGAGTTAACCACTGATTACAATTTGAACTCAAACCCTTCCGATTGCTCTAACCACAGCTGTACCTTGCCTGATACAGTTATGCACGGAAGAATAGGCTTAAGACAACTGCGTGTATCAGAAAAACCTTCATGATAGGACTACATGCTGCCTCGCGTATTGTATATGGACACCATTGACTGCAGTGTATAAAACACTGGTCACTTATTAACACGAGTAGCGATGAGGTGTGCCAGATACAGACATTGGCTATGATTGAGTCCACATAAAAAACAGCTATTTGGCTTTAAGTAATTTTCCTAAGTGATTTACATGTTCCATATCTGTCATTAACATGAAATTATCTGCTGCTAATGAAAGTCAAGTTCTGTCAAACCTACTCTGGCCAACGGCGCAGCCACTGCAGGTATCTTCATTGTCCAGATGCCCCGAACATTCAAGAGGCGACTGAGAGATACCCATAAATTATTGTACCCCTGGTCAGCACACAAACGTGCTCAATACACGCAATCAGCACGCAGACACACACTGAGCACACACATGTATGGTTAACACACACAGCACGTGCATACATACCATTTACGGTCAGAAACCGCTTTGCACGGATGCATATGAGTTGAACCTGCGCTGGCAGCTTGTGCAACGCAGGTTAAGCCACACGTGGCTGTACGACTCCCCACTTGAGCTGGGCTACGAGCCGACTATACCAGCGCGCTTGCTCCTACTAGCCACACGTTTTTCTCGGCTAAGAGGAGTCACGTGGCAAAGTCATCCTATCATTCGTGTTTAGCCACGGCTCTTAACTAGAATTCCATTTTCCTAGCTCTTTCGGTAAAGTCACGTTGAAGGGAAACAATAACGTGACCGAAAGAGCTAAGAATATGAATTACTGCAGTCACGAAAGCTTTAAATCAAAATTTAGAATTCCATTACTTAATAATGTCCTTGGTTACTCTCCCATCTAAATCACTAATTGATGCTGTGTATATATATCAGGACAATGTTTGAGTAACTTAATTTGTAATAATCTGAGCTGACTCGTACTGCAGGGAGTTTATTGTTTGGCATTTGTGTTTGTGCAGCGTTTTCAATGCCTCTTTGTTCTCATTTATGTTTACTTCATTGCTGTAGTTTTTGTTTTGCTTTTGTCATTTTATTGAGGCAGGTCACTTGCAAATGAGACTAATTCTGGTCCTTCGAGTTCTCAACAACTGGTTAAACAAATAAACGTGAAAACTTGACATTGGTGCCTTTTACCCCCACTGAAGAAATAATCCATAATTTGTTCTTATTATTCACAAGTTTTGATAGATAAGAGGAGCTGAGCAGCAAATTGATCATCTGCATTGATCTAAAAAAAAATTATGTGGTGGATAATTGTAGTAAATAACACATAACCCACACAATAGGAACAACTGTCATACACATGGGCATAGATGGGAGGAGTTCACCTGAAACATTCATGGAGACAGTGTAGGATTGGAACTAGGATATCTTTCAGACTCCCAAAGACTTTCTTTGCATGGAAATTAAAAGGGGAGAGTCGTAATTAAAAGTATCGAGCAATTTGTGCTATTTTGTCGTTTGAGTTTTTTTCACAAGTGTATACTGCAGTAGTTTCACAAAAAAAGTAGTTAACCACTTGTTAATTATTGCATTGGTCAGTACCACATGAAGGTGGCAACGGTAATTAATTATCGCAATGCCAAATAACAGGTCACTGCATCTATAATCTCACATATAACCCCCAAGTAACTATTCGCCTTGTTTTGAACACTTTGTCAGGGATCCTTAACATCCACTGTGTGTGTGTTTTATGATTAATAGACCCGCAGCATTAACCAGGGCAGCCTGTCGGAATGTAACCACAAACCTCTGCAACAAGTGGCGAATGCGCTACCGCTTGGCCATATATGTATGTTGAACTTCGTTTGCACCATATGTAACCAAACGTGATTATCGGAGGTACCGGGCAAGGGCAACAAAGCAAACACAAAAAAACAGTTCTAAAGAAACGTGTACCTACTCTATATGCTTGGTGCAGGGGTAATCAATGCCATTGTAGGGGAGACAAAGCCAGCCACTCCTTGCATTGACCTTATTAGTTGCCCACTAAAAACACTTGCGCCATCCGATTGTCTGTATGACTCTAAGCATATCTTTATTTTGTTTTTGCACCCACATGGCATGCGTGCCAGAAAACCTTAACACAACTTAGCGCACACACTCCATAGTGTATGGCCCGCTGCAAGAGATGCTATATTGTGACTGAAAGCCAGATAATTGCAGAACATTTATCGGAACGTTTAACAAACGTAGTTTATACGGGTGCACATACATGTAGATTAGAATTGCAACGCGCTGCTGCACACAGATGGGATAGTGATGCTTCAGATGATATTTCAGGACAAAACCCCTGAGCACCTAGGACTCTTACTTTGCATGACAGCCCCTCCTACTTCATGTCTACATGCTCTAGTAAGAAAATGGGCGGTGATCATCTCTGTGGCCCTGAGCCAGTGATGGAAATTCCACATTCCCATGTCAATGGCCAATCTCTCCATATGATGAGAGCTTTTGAATTCCTAACAAAGCAGTAGTGATTTTATTGATGCTGAAAGGATGATAGACTAAGTCGGTCATGGTCGAGATTTTGACTTGCAACCAACCTTTAAACAAATTAACGGATTGCTTGTGATGGGTTAAATCGTGGGCACCCCACCGCCAATAGCATGAACACTGTGCAGTTGTGTTAATTAATTTTGTGAAATTAACAATGGAACCATAAATAGAGCAACAGTTTACTGAAATTGTGCAAAACCATTTTTTGTTTAGAGGGCGCACTTCTTGTAGTCTGAAATTTTCCTCGGCTTAGGGTTTTCTAGTATTCCTCATAGCACGTTAAACCAAAGGCTGCTCGGCTCTGAAGTTTTGTACCAAAGCGTGACCTTCAATTCCTCCCTCTGCCTAAAAATTATCTTCAGCTGGAAAAAAATAAGCCCGTTCATGCACAGCAAAGTTTAAGCGAGATGATAACCGTGACCACCTTGTGAATTCTATGTAATTATGTGCCTCTGACTGTAATAGGTGGGAGGTTACCTGTTGACTAAGCCTTGGATTAGAGCACACTGCCGGGAACCCCATCAGTATTCTTTTAAAGTCACCTTTAAGTATGTGGTGTGCTTGTGGCAGATGTGTGGGGTGGCACACATGCATGTACACCAGGGTTTCATGTTTAGCCGTATAGACCGCAGGGACAAGTGCTGTCCACGAGCACCTATTAAGGTGAGAACAGGACGCAAAAAAGAGAGCGGTGTGGCCAAAATCTCTCCCGACTCCCCAGGCTAATCTTTAAACATCCATGGCCATGTATCACTGGTCACCAGGACCATAGTGCAGTGCACAAATTACTGCACCGATGTGCATATTTCAATGTAAAACGATTTGCAATTGTTCCTTCATTACTACAGCAACAAAACAACAAGTGATAGCACCCAAGAGTAGAAAATACAAAGGAATAAATTCACCACATACAGAATGCAGCTACTGGAGGAGATAGTGGGTTGTGGTGGGGGCGGTGAGCAAAGAAAGAAGGGGTGGAGGGGACCATGAGGGAGGTGCAGAAAGAGATGGGAGATTGAGAGCGATAGCAGGTCCAGCCAGGACTCAAGCGAAGCTTGAAACCGCACGCGACCCAGGAGGAGGTGTGGCAAGGTCTTGGCGCACTATCGTAACCCCAGCGCCGCATGCGCATGTAGAGTCGACTGAGTCCACCATGTGCTCTGCCTTTTCTGGCTTGAAAGCTGATTGGTAAATTATATTTTATATCTGTTCACCAATTTATGCGTTTTATTTCATCACCATAGGTTGACTTGGCCTACTATTACTCTCGGCTTGATAACATGAGGAGTACCGCGTTATGACAAGTCAACATATGTTGCTCTCTAGGGACTGTTCAACATCACAGGAACATGGAATTTCCATTATTGACTCAGGGCTGCCATTATAGATTAGTGCTCCATCCCCTTATTGTCATTTGAGCAGGGGTTCTCCGTGCCTTACTCTCTGGCTTGACTTGATATAAAAAATATATGTTTAGGATGACATGGCTTTCATTTGAAACAAAAATATTTTAATGGCAACTTTTGTATAAAATTATTTATTTTTACCTTAACCAATGGCCAGTTTGTACTATTGGAGTTATATAATGAAGGTGAAGATATGATGTCGTAAAACTATGGGCCTGCAGTAACAGGCCCATAAAAACACAGCACAGAACTACTGGATAACCTCATCATACTCACCCCGACTATATGAATGTGGTATGTACATACAGTACCTCACTGAAGGCTGCAAATAAAATATTAGCACCGTTTCACGCACGTTTGAGCAATAGATGTGTTGACTTGATATTTGGTGGGAAAGTATAGTAGATAAAATGCTTTGTTAAATAATTACTCCTCTCGCAATTACGCTGCGTGTCTGTGTACATCTCATTCGTGGAGTAACAGAGCAGCAGGACAATGGATACAATGTCAGCGATGCGGTTTTATTGTAGTCATGTTGTAATTACAGGTATCTGTGCGTATTGTGACTGCGCATTGCAGGATTACACAAGTAATGACATCGTGCAAAGCACACCTTGGAATATTAGTGAAGGCAAAGGCTCACCGCTGCACTTGCCTCCACTCGAGAGAGCTCTCCAAAGAGCTCAGGAGGGTATTTTGGCCCACTCGTCTTCGCTGGCCAAACATCTTGGAAGAGGTGAGAGTGCCCACACTTTACCCCACCACACGCACTCTGATAATCAACCAACTTTAGTCTAGCGATATATATAGTGCTGGGTTGACAGGCAGAAGGGATTTGAGAATCTTGCCCATTCAAATGTGCTGGGAGATTGAACCGGTGGATTGTAAGTCTAACCATAACACCACGGTGGCATGTATTGCACTTCTTTTGCACCGTACGTAGCCAACCGTGCTCATCGGAGATGCGGGGATGGATAACCAAATAAACACAGCAGCATCACCAAAATTAACACCGATGGGCTGATTTATTTTTTGTGCAGAGATACAGAACAGAGGTCGATTTTTTTATTGTGTCACCTAAAATGCATTGTTTACATTATTACGTTTATGCAATTTCACTCCTATGATCAGATTAGCAAAGGCAGGTGCTGGTAATCTTGTATACAGTAATCACTCTCTGTAGTCTGTAATAAGGTTATTGTTACTTTACATGTAATAGTTAACTTTAATTTTTAGAAAATAGATGAATTTTTTTACCAGGAATAAATTATTCCAACAACTTTGATTAATGTAAAGACAGCGGCAGAGAGTGAAAACAGATTGTGTTACACGACTGCTCTGAGTATAGGTCACGCTGTTCTCTTCATAGGTCAAAAGTCAAGTCTGTGCCGGCATGCCCAAACGAGTGTTGGGAGCCATTCATCTCCACTGGTGATCATGCTGCCAGTTGTGGAACTTCCACGTTCACATGGCAGAGGCTATAACGTCACGTCTATTCTCTTGTTTGACCGCAAATAAGGAAGATGGACTGAGTTGGGCCTCAACTGGGATTTCATCTCGCAATCTTACAGTGTCATGAGTCAAGACCTCTTCACTACAGTGCCCCTCAGACACATGCGTACACGTTGTGTGCATGTGTATGAATAAGCGTACACTGCAAGCACTTCTTTTAAGTGTGCACACATATGAAATCCAAGGCAGATGAGACGGTGGTGACTCAACGGCAGCATATTGGTGCAGGCTGTGGCATTAATATTGATCATACTTTAATAATAATGCCGCTTTAAAGTGTTTAGTCAAGATAAGCACTTTAGATAGAACGTCTAAATTTCTCATATGCCTCCAGTGTAATTACTGTATACATTATGAGCATAACTGTCAGCAGGGTATTAATTTCACACATGCCTAGGCAACAGCAGGAGACACTCCAAGCCTGCCAGTAAGCCAGGCAGTGATGATAAATACACCAATCCACTGGCCTTCCAACGGCAGGACCACAAACTAAAATAGAGAAATCTGGCACCCAAGATATTGAGAGAAAATCTTTTTTGTTCGGGGGATTTGACTGTACACAGAAAATAAATGTGTGATTTTGGGAACAGGTTGGGGCACACCATCAATTTTTTAAAATCTAAAAAGCGAGACGTTTTGACAGAAACAGTGAGGCCTTGGCCGTCATCAGCCTGACATTTCCCCACCGTTGTGAAATGAGTAATCAGGTGCAGAACCACTTCGGAGAGAGGGATGAACGAGATGGATAACTCTGTGTGCCATGCACCTCGATGTGCAGTCCCACCCAGGGCTCCTCGGCATTCTCGGAAACGAAATGGTTGTGATGAAAAAATGTGCACCTGGAAACCCGCAAATGCACACACAAAGGGGTGCACACGTTAGATGTGCGCACTTGCACCCACAAGCACATGTTTTTACACACGTGTGTTAAATGTGCTGGTATGAGGCATGATGCAAAATTTTTTTACTCTAAAAAATAATTATTTAATCAGCACGAGACTAACAGAACATCAGAGAAATATTAAATACTCCCAAATACAACTGTCAGCAGTAGCAGAACACGCGTGCCAACAAGGACACTCAATTGATTTTGATAATCTTGAAGTTCCGTACAAAACTAGCTACCACTGGCCAAGACTAATTAGAAAATCGATCGAAATTGAAAGAATTTAGTTTGCAACCGTTCGGATAGCTACCGATTTCGTGCTGCGTGGAAGCGAATCATCAAATAATACATTGTTTAAATACATGCCTACACAGGGTTTACCGTTGGTACGGCTATTGTAATACACAATGGGCAGGAAGAACAAGATCAAAGGACTCGTATCATGCACATGCATAATGTACGTTGCCTCAGTAATCCCCCACCCCCCACTTTGCGCAAAAGTGCAGAAGGGTGGTCACCACATCTACGCCTCTATATAAGGAACTAAACAGGTGGAGGACTTCTCCACAAATCTGGCTGTCGCCTGATGAAGCTAGTTGTAATTACTGGCGAAACGTCGTACTCAGTTTGTAAATGTTGTTGTAGCTTGGCTCTCCAACACACTGGTGTGCTGTACTAGTGACGAATTGTCACGTTCTGTTTACGTGACAACCCTTACTAGTTGGCTGTGTCGGGTGGTGGCGGGTTTTAACGACACATTTATATATTTACGTGATCGAACTCCCCCCCCCCCAAAAAAAAAACCTCTATTATGGATGATATTGTTCGCAAAAGCCTCCTCCTACTAAGTGTTAAACTATTTTAATATTTGTTTTTATCTTTCTCCGGTGGTGCCATTGGGAGTGTGCTGTACATTTTAAATGTTTATTAAAATAATGTTTTTTCGGGGAGGGGGTCATTTAAAACATATATTTTATTACCAATCATCTTCTAAAACTATACTAATATGGACATTGTTATTGGCAAGCTGTGGTAAGTATTGTAATTTGTTTCGGGATTTTGTGGTTTTCATGAAAACATGTCAAATGTCCTCATTCAGACATCATTCTAGGGCATAGTAAAAAATTAGGGATGTTGCCGAGGTGTAGAAGTAAACACACTGGACTTGCAATCCAGAGGTCTCCAGTTCGATTCAGTATTCTGGTTGTAACCAGCCCCGTCCTCGTGTCGCTATCTTTAACCCGGGGGAAGCACCGGCCAAGTTTACAATTAAAAGATGTTAAGGTTGCGGTGTGGTTAAGCTCCCAATTTCGCCTGTGAATGCTTTGCTTATATCAGTAATCATGGCCATATACACAGCCGGCAAACTGCCACGTGCCACAACCACACGATTCAATCCTCCTTGCACTTTGCAGCTTCTTCAGAATTTGCCAATTGTCATGAGCTCCGTTACTAATACAATATTAACTTCTTGGGCGAAGCTAGGCTCGTACGTGGGAAGTTGTAAAGCAGCGTCGTCAAAAAACGTCGCCTCCAGTGAGACATCAACAGGTAGAGTCATCACACCTGCTCCACGATGCAACAGTTGAAACACTCGGCGCGTTTATTGAATTCCCATGCCTCTTGTCTTACCAGCAGTGTAAGTGGGTACACCAGTCAGTCAATAGTTAAGGTGGTGGAGTAAAGTGTCGGTACTCCCACCTCCTATCAAGATGGCTGACCAGCGTGGAAGAGTAGACCAAAATACTCTCTAAAGATGCTTTCTTGAGTGTCCTCTGGTGGAGGCCCGTTCACCAGCATTGGTCTGAGCAAGTAATTGTAGGTTGCACCTAGAACTAATTCGCCTCTAAACTCCCTTAAAAACACCCACAAAGTCTGTTTCTATGCATGCAGTTCTCAGTGACACGGCCAGGCAGTTCTGTATTGAGAGTTAGCCGTGCGGCTGACCCATAAAGAGGGCACAGACCTTTAGGAAACATCGAGCCTTATGCTTGGGGGGGTGGGGAAGATGTTTCGACGGGAAGCTGTGAACTTTCTCCACCCGTATCTTTCCATCTCTCCCACTGGACTTTGCTCAAAGGATGCTCCTCAAAAGACGGCATTCTTCACGAGCTGTTTTGTTAGGCAATCCGCAAGGTTGACTTGAACACAAAAGATAAGAACAATTTTAAACAAACCTCATTCCATAAATAAAATTGCTTTAGATTTTCAGGTGCAGTGATGTAAAACAAATGCCAGCGCCAAACCACAGGTAAAGCTTCACTCAGAGAGAACAATAATGAGCTCCTTCACAGCATTGTGAAGACATCAGCCAGCAACCCACCCATGTCCCCAATTCTTTCTAAAGCTACAGACCTACAAAGCAAGCCTGGTTGCCTTGCATCCACCAAGCATACACGCTTGTCAATTGTGTGCTTCCCTGCTCGAAGGAAATGGACACCTTCATTGGCAGTCTTGAGCCAGCAAGGGGAAGTTTACAATTCTCAGGGTAAGAGCCACAATCTTCATGGGATTGGTGGATTTCCACAAAAGTGGTCGCTGATGTATTGACCACAGGGATGATGAGTCTCATTTTGGTCCTCTTTGCTATTTTTTGCCACTGGGGTCTTTAATACATTTATTTTAATTCATGGTGCCTTGAGACGTGATGTGAAAGGTGCTTCATTATCTATTACCCTCAAGGAGGATTTGAAATCACAACGTTATGATTGTGGGTCATGCGCTTTGCCCCAGTGCCATCCAGACAGATAATGCTGGATTCATGGAAGGGCTCCAAAAAGTCGCATGGATAATATGAATAACGTAAAACAAACTCGTGGACTTCAATAGTCCACGAGTATTCCGATAGGATTACCGTTACTCCGTTTTTTATGCGTTTAATCTGATTACTATTACTGAGCAAACATCCGGTGATTACATCCGGTAAAATTTGAAGAGATATTCAGCCATCAGTTATGAACTTCCACTGATGAGTGTGATGAAGTAAGAGTCGGTCAACCTCCATGACCAACACAGTGTGGAGGTGCGTCCATCCTGTAGTGGATTGATAAAAGGCTGAAAATCTGCCATGACGTTAACTTGATTGATACCTGTCATAATATCAGAGCCATTTTGGGTGAGATCGCGTACATTTTGATCTGTCGTTCAACTCTCCTCAAATGGGACCGTAATGTTTTTCACACGCAATCCTGAGCAACCGATGGAAATGTTACATTCCAATAGTGAGGGCAATCTCTCCTTCGGACATTTGTTACTCCAGATAAATAATGGGGTGGGTCAACTCCTGATTGGCATTTTAACTTTTGACATTCATCATCTGCAAGACGAAGAACTGTGACCATAATTATACATGATACTTGTGTACAAGAGCGTGCAAAACCTTGGGGATCATTGATCCAGAGCTCTCATTCTCTTTCCATACTGTATCTCAAATTTTCAAGACTTAATACCTCTTAAACAATATTTCTTGCATCTATACTCCCCTTAATCTAGCTGCTGTTGAGAACCTCCGCCCATGCTTTCGTCACATCCCGAGTCATCTACTGCAACTCTATCCTCTGTGGCCTCCACAAATGCCTCTCCTCCACACTCCAGATGATCCAACATTCATAAATGTGACCACCTCACCCCGATGCTTCGATCTCTCCACTTGCTCCCAGTCCAGTCCGGCACCAACTTCAAGGTTCCCTTGTCGACTTCAAGATCTTCCACGGACTCGTCTCTGCCCACCTCTTCTTTCTAATCTCACTCTACTAAACACACTGTACACTCTTATCAACCGAGGCCTGCTGTCAAGGCCCCAAATGAACCTTCCTTTTGTACTTAGCTGCCCTCAAAGTGTGAAACTCCCTCCAGCCGTCCCTGTTGTCGACTCCCTGCCCCACGTGACAGCCCAAACACAAGGGGCCTTCTCCTCTGCCTGCGACTGTCTCCTTCCCTCTATCAATCGTAATTAAACAGTCCTTTCAACCATAAAAATAAATTGTATTGTCCGGTGAGATTGTATACAGTTTACTTAACAGAAACTCATGAAGGTTTTGCGTTGATTGTGCAAAGTCATTGGTACCCGGTGGAGGAATGTGTTTGGTTTGGTGACATTAACACAGCATTGGTCACGATGACCTTTTGATCTTCAAGAGGCGAGGTGATAACCCCAATACCGAGGCCACAGCATTGGCGAAAGAAAGTGCATGAATAAACAGGCAAGCGTCACATCACACACACACTGCATTACTCATAGGTGAAGGCGCAATCGGTACATCTGCATGTCTGCACGTGCAGCCCTGCCAGAAGACACCACGCCGAGCGAGAACTCCTGGCCGCAATCGCGACTCGCATTACAAACGCAGAGCAACCTCAAACGGAAGAGGGCTTCTCACTCACACGCCCGCCTCTCCACACTTGATTGACGGAAAGTTACACAAACAGAAGAAAAAAATTGATAGATTTCGATTCAAAGCTTTCGTGACTGCAGGGATTCATCTTCTTGGTTCTTTCGGTAAAGTCACGTAGAAAGGAAAAAATAAATAATGAAATATGATGCTTTTATTTCATTATTTCCCTTCTACGTGACTACCGAAAGAACCAAGAAGAGAAAAATTGATAGCTAAATATGCACAGCATCCACGCTATAAATTGTGCATAACGAGCATTTGGTCTGTTTAAACTCATAGCCGCAGCACATTCCTCGAGTGCTGTGTTTGTGGGGCCGATGTTACAAGTTCAATGCCATGGATTTAAAGAGGTCTCGGTAAAAAGAAAATCCTCTATGTAGTAATTATAAAGATGTGGTTTTAGTTTCAGGCCACATACAAGCACTGCCTGCGGGAGAGGAAAGAGATCACTTCGAGTCCAAATTACTTAGCCAAAGTTTGACATGAGCTTGTTTTATGGTGGTTCCACGCATATAATGGTGTTAATAGTGTCTCGATTGTGTCACCGGTCTATAGGTTTTGGCAAATGCATAATGGAATTTACCGTGTATTACTGAGAAATAATATGGAAACTACGCCTTTCTTGCACATGAGCCCTTGTGCCTTCCAGACCAATTTTTTCCAACAATGTATTTAAGTAGGCCAAATGTGGGTCGGTTTGGATCGTCAGAGTTTCATCGGCAAAGTGATGGGTTTCTTATCCGAGTTAAAACTTAATATGTTTAGAGCCAACACTTTTCAATTTAATTGTGTTGCATTCCAAAGGAGAGAATAAAAGTATATTTGATGCATGTGGTCTACACATATAAAGTGGCTGCTACAATATGAAAGTGTAACTTACACCAGTGGCTCAGGGCCAACAACACTGCCCAATTCTTGTTTGAGCATGGGAGACACTTTGAAGTTAACAGTGGTGAAATATATCAAAAGAATAATGACACGTGTTTCTCTAAGGAAAACAATAATATTTCTCTTGTTATCATTGCAAGTTAATTGCGTGTCGTACCAGCACTCATCCGAGGTCATTCCAGTGCCAATGGGTCCCTGCGATTGTGTTTTTTTTTATATACCAGACCTATGATGGAATTAGTGTGTCAAACCTTTG